TTAAAGATACCTTTATATTGCCAGTTTTTTTTTAAATATAATAACTATATATATAATAGTATATTGTAGATCGCAAATGTATTATTATATAATGTTCTTAACTTAATCTTGTTTACACGAGAATTCATCGAACTGAAATCTGATAAATTGACTCGGTATCTAATTTACTAACAATGCATTAATGTAAAGCTACAGTACATCTGAAAAATCAAACACATATAGAGTCTCTTCTCATCAGTGAAATCTATCGCCTGAATAAAGAACTTGATCAGAAGAAAACGTATTTTTTCAGAATTTTAATAGTCTTTAAGTTGCTAATAAATTGTATGTATATTAACCATATTATCTGCAGTGAAATCGATAATCTGAGTGAAGAACTTAATCATGAAAAAAGGCATATTTTAATAATTTTTTATCTTGTATTTCTAAGAAATTGTATGTTATATTAATTAAATTTTTATTATTAAAGATTGAATGCGAATCAATCTGAACATATCAATAACTTTGCCGCTGTTATTTTTGGACTTTACAACAAATTATTCAACATGCAAAAAGAATTAGACAGGGAGAAAAATGAAAAAAAATATCCGAATATACTGATTGGTGGTGTTTTTACTAGCCCTTTGTTGATTTTTTTGATTAATGTATTTTTTTTAAAATGCCAATCTGCCGCCATATAAACGAAACATGGTCTAAACAACGTTATTATAAGTAATTGCTTTTTTACGCACTGTAAAATAGAATAACAGATAATTATTTCGAAGGGCCAATTTCTATGCCCGTTAAGTACACGCTCTTTAAGTGCAAGTGTACATTTTCTTTTTTTTTGTAGCATGGTCCCAAGGGGTGCACTTAGGGAGGTCTTACTATTGATGTTTTGATGGTTATTTGGCTTTTAATTTTAAATTTGCCATTATTGTTGTAGCTGAATTCGTATTTTTTTTTTCTTTAGGTATTAGCATCTGTCCTAGAATTTGGATGAAAGATTTAAGGCTCTTGTATTTAGGTGCTGAAATGGTGTTTATTAACAGTGGTTGGTTTTCTTATTTGAATTTCATTGGAATGTTTTGGTTAGGGGAATATTGAACGTTCTTCCCAGTTCTAGGTATTCTGGAAAAGATACTTTGCTAGAATTCATAGTAAATAGGATGCACAAACATAAGTCTAAAAGTCTGATAATATCTTATATTTTTGATGATAATGATACATATGCTCATTATTTTTATTATTTTAGTGGCAGTAAAGCTGGAGGAGTTAATATTTATGTGAATATTCGTGGTTCCAATTTCGTAGTTTAGTGTAAAAATTGCTGATATTTTTGTTTCTATTTGGAACTATAAATTCACGTATATTTTATATTAATAATTAAACTGGGTATATTAGTCGAAACTATATGATGTTAATTATCACTTATCATAAAATACTAAGATTTATGGGTATATAATTTAAAAATATTTTACTTATAAGA